TTTTGGAAATTAATCCCTTGTTGGATATATGATTTGCAAATATTTTCTTCTAGTTGGTGGGCTGTCTTTTCATTTTGTTCATAGTTTCCTTTGCCTTGCAGGAGCTTTTTAGTGTGATGTAGTCCCATTTGTTAATTTTTTCTTTTGTTTCCCTTGCCTGAGTAGACATGGTATTCAAAAAGATGCCGCTTAAGACCAAGGTCAAAGAGCGTACTCCCTATGTGTTCCTCTAGGAGTTATATGGTTTCAGGTCTTACATTCAAGTCGTTAATCCATTTTGAGTTAATTTTTGTGTATGGTGTAAGATAATAGTCTACTTTCATTCTTTTGCAAGTGGCTGTCCAGTTTTCCCAACATCTTTTATTGAAGAGACTTTCCTTTTCTCCATTGTATATTCTTTGGTTCTTTGTTGAAGATTAACTGTCCATAGATGTGTGGTTTTGTTTCTGGACTTTCAATCCTGTTCCGTTGATCTGTGTATCTGTTTTTGTGCCAGTACCATGCTGTTTGGTTACTCTAGCTTTGTAGTATATTTTGAAGTCAGGGATTGTGATGCCTCCAGCTTTGTTCTTTTTTCTCAGGATTGCTTTGGCTATTCGAGGTCTTTTGTTGTTCCATGTAAATTTTAGGATTCTTTGTTCTATTTCCATGAAGAATGTCATTGGGATTCTGATTGGAATTCCATTGAATCTGTAGATTGCTTCAGGTAGTATGGCCATTTTAACTATGTTTATTCTTCCAATCCATGAGCATGGAATATCATTCCATTTCTTTTATCTTCTTCAATTTCTTTCAATAATGTCTTATAGTTTTCAGTGTATAGGTTTTTCACCTCTTTGGTTAAATTTATTCCTAGATATTTTATTCTTTTTGTTGTGATTGTAAATGGGATTGTATTCTTGACTTCTCTTTCTGATAGTTCATTATTAGTGTATAGAAAATGTGACTGACTTTTGTAAGTTGATTTTGTACCCTGCAATTTTGCTGTAGTTATTTCTAATAGTTTTCTGATGGATTCTGCCTATAGAATCCATAGATTCTACCTATAGAATCCATAAAATCTATATATAGAATCATATCATCTGCAAACAGCAAGAATTTCATTTCTTCCTTTCCAATTTGGATTTCTTTTATTTCTTTTTAATGCCTAATTGCTCTGGCCAAAACCTCCAGTACTATGTTGAATAGGAGTGGCGAGAGTGGGCACCCTTGTCTTGTTCCTGTTCTCGGAGGGATGGCTTTTAGTTTGTCACGATTAAGTATGATGTTGGTTGTGGGTTTGTTGTATATGGTCTTTATTATGTTGAGGTACTTTCCTTCTGTACTCATTTTATTGAGATTTTTTAATCATAAATGGATGTTGGATCTTGTCAAATGCCTTCTCTGCATCTATTGAGTTGATCATGTGATTTTTGTTCCTCATTTTGTTAATGTGGTGTATCACATTGATTTGCAGATGTTGAACCATCCCTGTGTCCCTGGTATAAATCCCAGTTGATCATGGTGTATGATCCTTTTAATGTATTGCTGTATGCGATTTGCCAGTATTCTGTTGAGGATTTTTTGCATCTGTGTTCATTAGAGATATTGGTCTGTAATATTGCTTCTTTGTGTTGTCCTTGCCTGGTTTTGGTATCAGGGTAATGTTGGCCTCATAGAACGAGGAAGCATTCCGTCTTCTTCAATTTTTTAGAATAGTTTGAGAAGGATAGGTATTAAATTTTCTTTGAATGCTTGGTAGAATTCTCCAGTGAAGCCATGTGGTCCTAGATTTTTGTTTTTTGGGAGGTTTTTGATTACTATTTCAATCTCTTTATTTGTGGTTGGTCTATTCATATTCTCTATTTCTTCTTGCTTCAGCTTTGGGAGGTTGTGTGATTCTAAGAATTTATCATTTCTTCTAGGTTATCCAATTTGTGGGCATATTGTTTTTCATAGTATTCTCTTATAATCCTTTGCATTTCTGCGGTATCCATTGTAATTTCTTCTCTTTCATTTCTAATTTTATTTGAGCCTTTTCTCTTTTTTTCTTAGTGAGTCTGGCTAAGGGTTTGTCAATTTTGTTTATCTTCTCAAAGAACCAGCTCTTAGTTTCATTGGTCCTTTCTATTGTTTTTTTTAGTCTCTATTTCATTTATTTCTGCTCTAATTTTTATTATTTCCCTTCTTCTGCTGACTTTGGGCTTTGTTCTTCTTTTTCTAGCTCTGTTAGGTATAGTTTAAGATTACTTATTTGAGATTTTTCTTGTTTATTAAGGTGGCCCTGTATTGCTATGAATTCTCCTCTTAGGACCAATGTGCTTTATCCAATATGAGTCAGTATGTTGTATTTTCATTTGTCTCTGTGTATTTTTTAATTTCTCCCTTGGTTTCTTCATTGATCCAATTGTTGTTTAGTAGTATGTTGTTTAGTCTCCACATATTTGTGACTTAACTAGCTTTTTCTTGTATTTGATTTCTAGTTTCATGGCATTGTGGTAGGAAAAGATGCATGACGTGATTTCAATCTTCTTTGATTTATTGAGGCTTGCCTTGTTTCCCTACATGTCATCTATCTTTGAGAATGTTCCATGTGCGCTTGAGAAGAAAGTGTATTCTGCTGTTTTTGGATGGAATGCTCTCTATATATGTATTAAGTCCACCTGATCAAGTGTTTCATTTAAATCCACTATTTCCTTGTTGACTTTCCATCTGGATGATCTATCCATTGAAGTAAGTGGGATATTGAGGTCCTCTACTATTATTTTGTTGCTGTCAATTTCTCCCTTTAGGTCTATTAATAGTTGCTTTATATATTTTGGTGCTCCTGTATTAGGTGCATATATTTTCATAATTGTTATGTCCTGTTGGTGGAAAGTCCATTTTATCATTATATACTGCCCCTCCTTGTTTCTCATTGTCTTTTTTATCTTGAAGTCTACTATATCTGATGTAAGTATGACAACACCTGCTTTATTTTGTTTGCCATTTGATTGGAGTATAGCTTCCCATCACTTCACTCTGAGCCTATGTTTATCTTTAGAGCTCAGATGTGTTTCCTGGAGGCAGCATATTGTTCAGTCTTGTTTTTTAATCCATCCAGCTACTCTGTGTCTTTTTGATTGGAGAATTCAATCATTTTACATTTAGAGTAATTACTGACATATGAGAGCTTAATGCTACTATTTTATCTCTTGCTTTCCAGTTGTTCTATATTTCCATTGTTTCTCTTCCTTTGTAGTTCTGACTGCCATTTCATTTTGGTGGTTTTCTCTTTCTCTATGAATTGTGGCTATGTTCTGATTTTTTTTGTGTGTGGTTACTGTGAAGTTTGTATAAAAAATTTCATAGATGAGATAGTTCATTTTCTGATAGCTTCTTATCTCCTTAGCCTAAGCAGGTTCCATCCCTCTCCTCTTTACCTTCTGAGTTATTGTTGTCACAAATTATTATGTTTTGTGTTGTGAGTTTGTGACTAAGTTGAAATGTTTATAGTTACTTTTGATGCTTTCCTTCCCTTTATCTTTTAAGTTATAATTAAGTATTTTATACCCTGTTCTGAAAGAGAGCTGCAGTTTTTTTGATTTTTTCTGTTTATCTCTTTGCTCAAAACTTTGTAGATATTTGCCTTCTTTTTGTTTCAGGTATGAGGGCATCATTCATCATTTCTTGTAGGGGAGGTCTAGTGGTGATGTAATTCCCTCAACTTTTGTTTTTCTGGGAAAGCTTTTATTTCTCCATCATATCTGAATGATAGTGTCACTGGATAGAATATTCTTGGCTGAAAGTTTTCGTCTTTCAGTATTTTGAATATATCATTCCATTCTCTCCTAGCTTGTAAGGTGTCTGCCGAGAAATCCACTGAAAGCCTGATAGGACTTCCTTTGTAGGTTAATTTCATCTACTTTGCTGCCCTTAATATTTTTTCTTTGTCATTGACTTTTGCTAGTTTTACCATTATATGCCTTGGAGGAGGTCTCTTAGCATTCATGTAATTAGGAGTTCTATTGCCTTCATGAATTTGTAAGTCCAGTTTCTTCCCCAGGTTTGGGAAGTTCTCAGCTATTATATCTTTGAATAAGCTCTCTGCTTTTTTCTCCTTCTCTTCTCCCTCTGGAATACCTATAATCCTTATGTTGCTTTTCCTAATTGAGTCAGATATTTCTCAAAGAATTCCTTCATTTTTTAAAAAGCTTAATTCTCTCTCCTTCTCCATCTGAAGCATTTTTATATTTCTATCCTCTAAATCAGTAATTATTTCCTCCATAATGTTAGCTCTATTTTTAAGGATTCTATATTATTTTTTATCTCATTAATTGTGTTCTTTATATCCAGAATTTCTGCTGGGTTTTTTTTTTTAATTGTTTCAATCTCTTTGGTGAAGTGCTCCCTTCTCATTAATTTTATTCCTGAGTTCATTGAACTATCTTTCTGAGCTTTCTTGTAACTCATTGAGTTTCTTTATGACAGGCATTTTGAATTCTGTCATTTAGATTGTAAATTTCTGTGACTTCAGGCTTGGATTCTGGAGACTTGTCATTTTCCTTCTGCTCTGAATGGTTGCTATATTTTCTCATGGTGTTTGATGAACTCATCCTTTGCTGGTGTATTTGTGGTAGTATCAGGTCACAGATTCCACTTGCTAGTACTAGGGGTAAGCAGGAGCTGTGTTTCTGATCCCACCCCATCTGCTGGAAGTTGTGGGGGTACGGTAGGTGTTCCCGCTGGCTGGAAAAGCATTCACAGGTGGTCTCAGAGCTGCTGCCACCTCACCTTATGGTGCCACCAGCTGTGCTTGATCGGTGGGGCTTCCTCACAGGGTCCGAGCCTGGGCCCTTGTTGGGACTGCAGCAGCATGGTAGGCTCTCCCACTGGCCTGGAAAGCATTCACACATGGGCTCAGGGCTGCTGCCGCTTCTTCTTACAGTCATGCCCAGGCGCTTTCCCACTTGTGGGGCTGCAACAGTACTATGGGCTCTCCCATTGGCCAAGAAAGTCTTTGCACATGTGAGTAGATCTGCTGTCACTTCTTCTTATCGTTGCGCCAGCCACTGTGCTTGGTGGATGGGGCTTCTTTGCGGGATCCAAGTCTAGGCCACTCGTTGGGACCACAGTGACATGGTGGGCTCTCTAGTCAGCTGGGAAAGCATTCACTTGTGGGCTCAGGGCCGCCTCTGCCTCTTTTTACAGTCGCGCCAAGGCGCATTCCCACTTACGGGACCACAGCAGCACTATGGGCTCTCCCGCTGGCCAGTGAAGCATTTGTGAATCTGTGCAAGGACGCTGGGGAAGAGTCAGGGAGTGCTCACCTATCTCCACTACTTCCCGGAAGCCCAGTCCATCCATCGTCAGGGGTATAGTTGCATAGGTCTCTCAGTGTCCTGTTGTGCTGTATGGATATCCTCCATTGGTCAATGAATCTCCATTTAGTTGTAGTTCAAAGGGGAAGAGATAAAGCGAACAGCTCACTCCACCATGTTGCTGACACCACTCTTTCAACTTCATTCTTTTGCCTATAGATATCCAATTATATTAGTACTTTTTATTGAAAAGACTATTCTTTTCCCAGTGAATTGTCTTGACACCCTTGTTGAATATTAGTTTGCCATAAACATGAGGATTTATTTCTGGACTCTCAATTTTATTTTATTTATCTCTATGTCTATTCTCATGCCAGTACCATACTGTTTTTATTATTGTAGCTTTGTAGTTATTTTTAAAATTGGGAAGTTTGAGTTCTCCTATTTTGTTCTTGTTCAAGACTGCTTTGGCTAGTTTGAGTCCCTTACATTTCCATATGGATTTGAGGATTACCTGATCCATTTCTGCAAAGACGTCATCTGGAATTGTGATAGAGATTGCACTGAATCTGTAGATCAATTTGGAGAGTATTGCCATTTTAACAATATTAAATATTCCAATCCATGCACATAGGATATCTTTCCATGTATTTAGGTCTTCTTTAATTTCTTTCAACAATATTTTGTAGTTTTAAGTGTACAAGTTGTGCACTTCTTTTGTTAAATTTATTCCTAAATATTTTTCTTTTTGACGCTGTTGTATAGTATATGGAATTGTTTCCTTATTTAATTTTTGAATTTTTCACTGCTAGTATAGAAATATAATTGATTTATATATTTTGATTTTGTAATCTGTAACCTTGCTGTATTTATTACTAGTTATGATAGTTTTTTAGTGTATTCCTTAGGATTTTCTATATACATGATCAGGTTATCTACAAATAGTTTTACTTCCCCCTTTCCAGTGCAGATTTCATATATGTATTTGACTAATTGCCCTCACTGGAACCTCCAGTACAATATTGCATAGAAATGGTAAAAGCAAACATCTTTTTCTTATTCCCGATCTTTGGGTGAAAGTATTCCATCTTTCACCATTAAGTTGATGTTAGCTGAAGTTCACCATTAAGCTGATGATGATGAAAATTAGATAAGGAAACAATTCCATATACTGTACAACAGCCTCAAAAAGGTTTTCATACACGTCCTTTGTTAGTTTGAGGAAGTTCTCTTTTAGTCCTCATTAGTTGAGTGTTTTTATCATAAAGGGGTATTTGATTTAGTCAAATGGTCTTTCTGCATCTATTGAGATGATCCTGTGATTTTTTTGCCCTTTATTATATTGATATGGCTTATTACATTAATTGATTTTTGGATGTTCAACTTTACATTCCTGGGATAGATCTCACTTAGTCATGGTATATAATTCCTTTCATATGTTACTGATTCAGTTTGTTATGATTTATTGAAGATTTCTGTGTCTAAATTCTTAAGAGATATTGATCTGTAGATTTCTTTTCTTGTAATGTATTTTTCTGGTTTCATATCCAGGTAATACTAGTCTCCAAAAATGAGAAAGTGTCCTCTTTTAGTCTATTTCTTTGGAAGAGTTTGCGAGAATTAGTATTAATTATTAAGTGTTTGGTACAATCATTTTGGTTCTGGTATTTTTTGTAGGTATTTTAAAAATTATTGATTTAATGTATCTTATTGCATAGTCTATTCAAATTTTCTATTTCTTCTTGTCAATATCAGTAGTTTATATCTTTCTAGGAATTTGTCCATTTAACATAAGTCATATACTTTGTTGGTGTTGTTTTGTTTTCTAATTTTCTAGGTAATAAGTATTTGGTTTTATTAAATATTTCACTATTAAGTTTAATACTTTCAGCATGGCTCAGAGAACAGCCTACAGTTTCTGGAGTGAGATAGACCTAGTTTCAAGGTCTGTCCTTGCTCTCCACTAGTTCAGGGGTGAACTTTAACTTATGTGGACCTTAGTTTCCTTATTGAAGCAATGGAACTAGTGAGAATAAGTGGATTGCCAAATTAAGGGAAAATGGGGTTTGGAAGACTTCCAACAGTCCTCAATGTGGTAGATTACATTTTCCAAAGAAGTTTGTAATAATTTTATTTCTCTGTATTCTTTTATAGAACTTCTTACTCTCCCATGAAGAGGTGGAATCTATTTCTCCTCTTCTTGAATCTGGGTGGGTTTGCAACTCACTTGTAACCAAAAAAATGTGGTAGAAGTGATGCTGGATGACTTTTGAGGCTTCTGCCTTCTTAGCTAGAACACTAGTGCTTGAGTATTGAGCTTTCATATAAGAAAAATAATATTACTACTCTGAGGCTACCATGAAGTGAGAAGGCAGAGGGCACATGGAGAAGCCTATTGTAGGTGTTTCATCCCACCATGCCAGCTGAGGTCCCAGCCAACACACAGCATCAATTGCCAGATATCTGATTAAAGATGCATCCAGATAATTCAAGTCCCCGTCTGTTGAGTGATCCAAGCTAAAATCCCAGGTATTTTTGTACAAAGACAAGTCATTTTCTTTATGGCCTATTTGAATTCTTAACTCACAGATCCATGAGGATAATAAAATTGTTAGAAAAGATGATCAGTTTGTGGAATAGAGTAAGATCAATCCTTGAATGATCAGTTCAAACGATTACCTTGTTGTAATGACTACAGTAACAAATGTGAAGGTTAGGAAACGTCATGAACTATGGGGAATATGAAGAAATCACGGGCCCTGGTCTTTTGGTTTCCTTCCCTATGCACGAGGCCATCCCTGATACATTTCTTGCCTGCGTCTTCAGCCTCTCCCCCTACACTCATGCTTACGCACCAGCTTTGCCCACATGGGCATCTTGGAGGTTCCCAAAAGGAGAGGGCTGTTTCTCACCTGGGGCCTTAGGCTCCTGAGTTCCTCTTGTCTGAAATGCTTTTCTCCTCCCAGTCTCCTTTGCTGGTTCCTCCTCATGTTTCTGATTTCTGAAGGTCAGTCCACTTCCGAGCTCAGGGCATGGAACTCTTCTGTTTCTACATTTGCTACCCATGTGGCTTCACCTTGTATTGGGGCTTAAAATACCATATAAATGCTAATAACCCACAATTTTTAAAAAGACAGGACCTGGGAGGAAAGAGTTGAGATTGTGAAGGTAATTTTTCATGAGGGGACTCTTTGCAGAGGTGTCGGAGTTAGAGGAAACAGCATAGGATGCTGCAGCACCAGGGATCTGTCATGTGGGCAGCATTACCTCCTGGGCCTGGAGGGCACAGGCAGTCAGCAGGAGAGCTAGAGGCTGATGGGTGGTGCTGATCTGTGTAGACTGGCTCCTGGCAGGTGCTGTGGTCAGAGTGAGATGCAGGGAGGGAGTGAGTAAAGAAATATCCTGATCGCTCTCTTCCCTTCCTATGATTACTGGCCATTTTCACCACTGCAGAATCCAACCAGAAGCCAGAGGTTCTATGTTCTGTTCGCCTCCTATTCACCCCACTGATGAGGGAGGGATCCCCTGCCCTAAATAGTATGAGATGGACACAAGACACTTAGCGCTGCATAGATGAGATATACAGCAGTTTATTCCTCACATCTATTCACAGCCTGTGCAATGCAGGGCCACATGGGGGTTGCACTAGGGAACAGACTGAACGAATGGCCTTGTCCTAACAAGATGGCGAGGTGTCCCCTGATTCCCTTGGGAGGATGTGATTGCCTTGTTTGAACAGGGGGCTGGCAGGAGACTGAAGTCAGTCAGGTTGAGGACTGGGTGGAGTGCAGCTGAACTGGTAGAGGAACCATCTGAGAAAGGAGCCTTTTCTATTGGATGGGGGCATATCTGGTGAAAGCAGGGGGACTCACTGTTAGGCCTTTGGGGTCCTGTGAGGCTTCAAACTGTCAAGGCAGCACATGGAATTTTAGGTCTTTATTACAATATACCCTGCTACCTACCAACAGACTTTATATATACTGTAGTGGTTGGGAACTGACAGTCTGGAGCCAGACCGCTTGCTGGGTTGGAAATGTAACACTGGCAAATTTTTTCTCTGTGACCTTGGGCAATTTAATTAACTCTTATGTGCCTCAGTTTTCATATCTGTTAAATGGGAGCAATAATAGTAGTCATATGGTTTGTGCAAGGATTAAGTGAATTAATACATAGCAGTGCCTGCCATGTGGTATTATGGTCACTAATACTGTTTTTTCAACTTTTTTTTTTGGTGAGGAAGATTGGCTCTGAGCTAACATCGGTTGCCAATCCTCCTCTTTTTGCTTGAGGAAGATTGTCCCTGATCTGACGTCTGTGCTAATCTTCCTCTATTTTGTATGTGGGATGCCACCACAGCATGGCTTGATGAGCAGTGCATAGGTCCGTGCCTGGGATCTGAACATGCAAACTCCAGGCCTCCAAAGCAGAGGGCATGAACTTAACCACTATGTCACTGAGCTGGCCCCTCATTAATATTATTATTACTAAGTCAACAAACATCAAGGTGAGTCCATCAGACACAGGGGCCATGGGGCCATCATCATCATCATCATCATCACTAAATTAAATAATGGATGTGAAAAATAAACTCTGAAAAGAAAAGGCTTGACATATATTCAGAAAGCAGATGGCTCCCCACTTATGAATGGACTATTTGCAGGTACAGGCAGGTTAGGGGAACCTACAAGGGACATGGAGGCGCTTGGAGACCGACAACAGCAGGGTGAGAGCT